GGGGACGCAAGAATATCTTCGTTAAACGTTCCTGGGATTAAAAAGTCGATATGCATACTCTCTTCCATTTTTATGACTCCAGCAACAATTTACTGCTTGAACAGAATCCGGGAACAGTAGAGAAGCCTCTGCAAAGGTGTTAAGATTGCGTAGAAGAGATACTTAAACTGAATTTTCAGTCCACACGGGCTTTATGGCCGTCATGAAAAAAATACACATTTGTATGAATTCAAAGAGCATATGGAAAAAATCTGCCTAGACATCTTCTAAGTCAGTTTTTTACTGATTTTCTCCCTAAAGACCTGGCCTTTTTTGGCAAACTAGGTAGAAACGATTATCTCTGGGACCCCTGACTTCTCTATGCGTGTTGGCTTTGGGAGTACCTGCTTCAAAATGGTTGCAAAATAAAATTGGGCCTTTGTTGGGATATTATTGTGAGCAGGTTAAATTCCAGCAGTAGCCCAACTCACACTGTGGGGTCTGTAAGCCTTGGCTCGTTCCTAAACTGAAAGAATTATTAATACTCTCCAAGAACTGTTGATCAGAGTGGGTCCCTTCAGGGAGAGAGTGCGCATTCCATACCAATCCTGGAATTCCCACGTGTCGGTGACATTGATTGAACCCTCAGTCTGGTTTGGACGCTCCTAAACGTGGTGATGGATTTCTGCACGTGTAGACACCCAGCTGATAAACCCGCTCTCCCCCCACCCAGAAAAAAAATCATTGGACATTGCTGCACACAAATTGGCTGCCTGTTCGCTTACAAGACACCCAGTCCTTCCACTTTACCATATATGCTGTCAAGCATTTTGAGACTACCTCCCGATATCAAAGGTGCTGCGTCAAATGTAAGAATTATAATAATAATCCTTGCACTTGATCCAGCCACTTATCACCTTGTTGAAACATCTCAAAGCGCTTCACAGAATATACTGCAAAGTGAATTGACTGTATATTTTGTGGGTGAAATGCAGCAGCCAATCGTGCACAGCAGTGTCCCCACAAACAGTCGTGGATTGGATTATGTTATGCCTCTGAAATGTTTTTTTTTGAAGACTGAAGTGCTTGCCTAAAGCTTCGCTCGTGTTGAGAATAGCCCTGAGAATACAGGAATAGACTAATGGTTCAATTTCTTGACATTTTGCTACCACAAACAAAGGTCCTCAAGTTGACCAAGTTGACCATTATTATAAACACCACTGCATTGCTTTCCCTCGTGGTTTGATCGCAATGATGAGATTCATGCATGTGAAAATATTTAAAAAGTGGACAAAACTCCATAGGAGAGGGAATAGTTTGCATTCCTCTCCTTATTTTCTTCTAGTTTACTGTTGATAGCTGCTGTGTCTCAGAGAAAACTGGTTTTAAACCATAACGTCTCCACAGCCAGGGAACTTTTGCCCAGGAAGGGTGGTTAAAGCCTGGATACTGAATGTATTTAAAAATCATAGGGTGGGTATTCTGGAAGGTCAAGATTGGGTTGGCCGAAGGTCTTCTTCATCTAAACCAAATGTGGAAGTCCTGTAGCTCATCGGTTAGAACATTCGCCTCGAAAACGAGAGGCCCTGGGTTCGATTCCTGGGCAAAACTTTGGACACGTTTCCTTTCTCCAACACACACGCCTCTGTTTACCCAACAGTAAGTAGGAACTGGTTGTTATAGTTGATTGGCGGATCACATTTCTTCCAAATAAATTAAAATGGTTTGGTCAGTTAATCCACAACAGTTTGTGGGGACCCTGCTGTGCGCAATTGGCTGCCGTGTTTCGCCCCCCAAAATGTGCAGTCCATTCACTTTGCAATATATTCTGCGAAGCGCCTTTGAGAGGTCTCGAAGGCGCGATAAGGCGCTATATTCAAGTCCAAGGATTATTATTAGTATTAATCCTGCGATCACATAGGATCTTGTGAACTACAGCAGTGGAGAGCGTCAACAAAACCCTTTCCCTGTTGTCGTTCCACTCTCGACCAGAGGTGACACTGTTGGGGCATTACAGAACCAAACATGGATGTGTCCAATCGCTTAAACCGTGAAATTAAAATCGTCCATTTCTTCTCACAGAATGTAAAAAACATGCTTCTAAATATAATCACTTTTAAATTGAGTTGAAGGCTTCTGCAGTCGGAACTAACGTCCACCAGGAATAAAATTGAAACATGGTAATCAAACCCAAACAAGTCAAGCGCGCGGTTATTCGGGCAAATATCGTGTTAGGAGACACGTAATAATAATCCTTGCATTTGCATTTGAGAAGGCACCTTGTCACATCGTTGAAAACATCGCACAGAATACACTGTAAATTGAATTGACTGTACATGTTGTGGGCGAAACATATAAAACGTTCCACTTAAACTCTTTATGCACATAAACGAAATAGACACGTAAAGTGTTACGTAGGCTTTCACGAGATCACAAGATTAATTTGGATGAAGAAGGTGCCCAAGAACACCCACCCTACTGTCCTCCCATTACCACTTTACCACTCTAAACGTGCGTCCTCTTGTTCTATTGTGTTAGTGTATTCCATTCCAAAGCAAAATGCAATGATAAGAGGGTTAGAGGGAGGGAATTCCAAAGGTCATGAAGTAACTAAAGACCCGACCCCTGATGGTGTTGCTGGAGTCCTGTAGCTCAGTGGTTAGAGCACTCGAGCTCGAAAGCGAGAGATCTGGGTTCAATTCGCGGCAGGTATTTGTAGTCGAAATGTTGGTCAACTTTTCTTACTCCACACGCCGATGTAGGATTAAGCATTAAGTAGGAACCCAGTTGTTAGTCAATTGATGGATCGCTTTTCCGAGGGTAATAATTCCTTCAAAAAAATAAAATAATAATTTGGCCACTCAATCCACGACTGTTTGTGTGGGGACGCTGCTGTGCGCAATTGGCTGCCGCGTTTCGCCCACAAAATACACAGTCAATTCACTTTACGGTATATTCTGTGAAGCGCTTCGAGACGTCTCGAAGACGTGATATGGCGCCAGATCAAATGCAAGGGTTATTATTATAAAGAGGACGGAGAACATTCAACAAGTCCGAGTTTTTCAAGCAGAGGGGACACGCAGAAGATAAGAGTATGAGAAGATTACAGAGATGGGGAGGTTCTAGGGAGTAAAGGGACATAGAGGCAAGAGTGAAGGTCTTGAAACTGATCCGCTGTGAACTTGGTGAGGATTGCAGTAATAGGTGTGCGTGCGGTGGAGTTTGGGATTAGCTAGTATTATTGCCTATCGCAACATCTTGATAAGGGAGAGAGCATGCATATTCCATTCCAACAATCTCTCTCTCGGATTTCCATGTGTTGGTGGGATGCACAGAATTCTCAGTTTGGTTTGGATACTCTTAAGCAACGGCGATGGGCTTCCCCACGTGTCAGACACCAGGCTGACCAAAAAAAANTGTCGGAGGCATCTAGGAACATGACAATGTTACAGCCCATTTTGTCCCCTATCTTCAATTCCTGAAAATTGGAGTCAAGAGTTCGAGATGACTGGACTGTAAACTGTGTTTAACATTTACATTAAATGCTAAGGTGCAGCAGAACTCCCTATCAAGTGGTTCCATTCCATGCTCTGTGATTTTCAGTACGGCAAGAGGTCAGTGATAGAGCTGACTGTCAGTTGGTGGGCAAAACAGTAATGATGGCAACTCACTATCCAGGCCACTTTATTAGTATGATTTTTTTTTCCTTCTTGAACCCTTCTTGAAGCAAACTCATTAATGAGGGATTGCTACAGTAAGCACTAACCTAGGCCATTGACTGCCACAGTAAGGGTGAAACTACGCCAACTCTACTTACTGCCTTTAACAGCAAGTTTCATAACTGGAATCACAGAACCTAAAGGCGACAAAATTAAGCCTAAAATAGCTTAAAATTGGCTCATGTTGATTTATTGCCAAAGCGTCTTCATTATCTGAGCAGCCCTCCTCAGTAATGTCCAGCTTGTTACTCTGACTGTCGGCTCGTGGAAACCACAACATGTACACTGAACAGGAAAGCAAATAGAAACACCAAATGAGATGCCACTGCACCCAATGATGGAATAATATCACTTGGAGAATAACAATCCTTGCATTTGATAAAGCGCCTTATTACGTCTTCGAGACGTCTCAAAGCGCTTCACAGAATATACTGCAAAGTGAATTGACAGTATATTTTGTGGGCGAAACGCGGCAGCCAATTGCGCACAGCAGCGTCCCCACAGACAGTCGTGGATTGAGTGACCAATGTATTATTAGTGTTTTTCTTGAAGGAATTATTACCCCCGGAAAAGCGATTCACCAATTGACTAACATCCGACTTACTGCTCGGTAAACAGAGGTGTGTGGAGTAAGGAAACTTGCCCAACGTTTCACCCTGTCGGGAATCAAACCCAGGTCTCTCACTTGCGAGGCGAGTGCTCTGACCACTGAGCTACAGGACTATAACATCAGATCTCAGTCATTATTGTAGGCCAATCCCTGTTATAAAGCAGTGGTTTTGGTTCAAAAACTCAGACCATGCATTTCACGAGGCAGGCTAACAAAATGACCCAGGTCATAAAGGCACCATTGATGTTATTTCTTGTGCATTGGACTCAAGTGTACTATGTGCAGGAAGTGATGCCAACAGGAACCATTCTATCCTCACTCTATGGAACTCCATCTCAGAGTCCCTCCATTCACTTCATCTCTCCCCTCTTTCAAGGCCCGTCTCGAAACAGACCTCTTTGACCGCTCTTTTGGTCATCTTTCCCTTCCCTAATCCTTCCGCTCCAAGCTCTGTTGCCCGTCCCACACCGCAAGCGCACTTTAGGACCACCTGTTGATGTGAAACCTCCTGTGCCAATGTCATTTGCATTATATTATATCTGGTCACGTTTTAGCGCGGGAAGCTACCCAAGCCAGGTGGAAACGTACCACTCTTCCTGCCATTAACCGTGGGTCATAATCAAACGCTTGTTCTGCCGGCTTCACCCCCGATTGGGCTGCTCATACAGGGCGCAGCTCTAGGCTGGCCTTACCTGAGAAACGAAAGCCTTTGCTGTCTGCGGGCTCAGAAAGAGGATAGCACGTCGCAGAGTGTCCCGATAGCGATTCATTTCTTCTAAGCGCATTGTGGCAAACATGCTGCTGATCATCCTGTTGATGTTGCTTTCGACCTTCTGCAGAGCCACATCCATCCCCTGCTGCGAAGCTTTGTCCAGGAAGTCCTGAATCCCACGGATATCTGGTAAATGCAATAACCGAGATCTTAGAACCTACATTGAACCAATGTATCAAGCTCAACCCGAACCCTTCACAAATCCAGTACAGTTTTCAATGCAAGCTGTCTGTATTAAATTGTACCAATGCAAATCCATGAGAAGCATCATCAACAACAACAACAACAATATTAAATTTTTATGACGTCTTTCATGTTGGGAGGACGTCCCAAGGCGCTGGACAGACAGAGTTTCGGACAAAATCAGACCCATTTTGAAAGCCTACATGTTCACTATAGAAACCAAACACCCAGGACCTCATTCACACATTTTTAGGACCTCATCTATCTTGGTTACTACTTTTAGAGATTAGAGATTTTATTTTTAGACCTTCTCTATTCGCATAACATTATAGTGTCCCAAAATGACCCTCAGATGAGTTGATGAGCAAAATTTGGATCCACAAATTTCCAAATGTAGCTCTACACAAGTAGATTAAACCTATAACAAACAAGTCAATGGAATATAAAAGTGAGGAGGTGATGTTGGATTTATACAAAACCGTGGTTAGACCGCATTTAGAGTATTGTGTCCATTTCTGGTCTGAACGCTATTAAGAATGATTCAGCAAAGATGGAATGAGTACAGCTTAGATGATACCAGGTTTTGTGGGTTCCTGCTATCAGGATAGATTGGATAGGGTATAAGGGTATGGGAAGGAATAAAGGAATTTGTGAAGATTCATTTGGAGCATAAACACTGGCATTGAGTGGTTGGGGCATGTGGCCTTGCTTCTGTGCTGTACATTCTTTGTAAATCTTTGGAAATTTGTGCAAAGGTTGAACCGCGTCCTAAATTTGAAGTTAGTTTTCTGTTTTCTACAGAAAAACAGCTTCAAAACGAAGACTTTTTTTGAGAATTTGCCAAATCCTGGGCTCTCTGAAATGCCACACGGATGGAACAAATCCAGATCCTGGTGCAGTCTCTTCTGAAATGCTGCCCGATTTGAAAGGGCCAAGCCCTCCCCCCCCCCCGCGGGCACATAAAAGAAATATCTCGATGCTGTGTTGGGTAATCTGGAAACACAAGATAAAACGGGTTGAAAAGCTGTGTGAAGCCATTTCCAGTTATACATGTAAAAGCTACAGCTTATTTAGAGACTGCGGCAAATGAAATCTTCTGTGGGTTTAGTACATTTGAATATCCAACGCAGCAACTTATGGTGGATGATTACCTTACAGGCTGGGTCATTTTGAAAGCCCCAAACAAAGCCATTATTTAAAGTGTTGCCTGCAACTTCCTTTGGAGAGGGATGTTTCCTGTGGCGTTGTATTCTGTATCAAGCACCAAATTTTGGTACATAATAATTACATGACTTAATCCATTAGCGCACTCCGCATTAACTGGAGAGCAGAACATTTCTATCAATTGGAAATGATGTTTTGCAGTGTTCCTTTCTTAGTCTAGCAGTTTTATCCTGGATAGAAAGTGCATCTAAAAAAAAAATCCATTCACTGTATACAGCGGGCTCTCTTCATAAATCGTTGGTGGCCTTTGGAGACACAGTTTTTATACAATATGAAATTGCCTCCACGGTCCTGAGAGATTTCAGAATTGAATATTACTTGCATTACTTCATTTTTCATCACCCGGTTCCATTATTTGTACGATTTAATACAATCAGTGTCGCAGAGGAGAAATGTGAAGCACAGCACAGTTTTATCTACGCACCCTAATATCACCTGACTTTGTTTTACACTCAGTGGTTGTATTTAATGAAACTATGTTTAAATCAACTTCACATAAATCACCCATTCTTATCTTCCTTTTCTTCCTTTGTGAATTCATAAAGCATCACTGTCAGGTAACCTCTGTAACACACATTACAACAGCTCTGGATAATGAGAGCAGGTGCTCAACAGCCCAAGCTTTCCTTGGTAGAGTACTTTAATAACCTATTATTTTTTAGGCTTTGTCCATTTTGCAAAGATTTCATAAGAGCAATGTTTTTTGCTATTTAATCTCACTTGAGCAACGTTTTTAATTTTATGTTTTATTGTATATTACAACGGCAACAGGTCTTCCCACTGTACAGAGAGTGAGACTTGCAAGAGGACAATCAAATGGTATGAATTACAATCCTGGGGGAGATGGACTGAATTATCAGAAATGCCTTCCTTTGACAGAAAAGTTAAAGTGAGGTCCCAATTCCTGTTCAGAGGGAGTTCGAGGATCCCAGGGCATGACTCAAAAAGACGAGAGAGTTTTCCGTGGTGTCCTGGCCAACAATCACCCAAATAAAATTGATCATTCATTTCACCCCTGTTTGTCAAACATTGCTGTGCACAAATTGACTGCTGCCTTTGTCTAAAAAAATACACAGTCGCAACAATTTATTCTACCTTTGTGGCGCATCTGCCAATTTGAAAGATGCAATTATTATTAATATTTGTTTTTATATTAAGAAACTAAACTGCAACCAAACTTATAAGAATCGATCATAACAGCTTGGTCTTTTCAGCTTGCGAGCAGAGAAAAGAAAACCATTAGTTATAATTTATTACATTTCATTACATGTGAGCGATGTTTGCAAAGGGATTAGGGACAATATTTTTTTTTACCCAGACGGTGTTTATTAACTGGAACAGGTTACCAGGAAGGGTGGGCGATTGAGGCCAGGGACCCTGGACACATTAAACAAACATCTCGATGCTGTATTGGATAATCTGGAAAGATGAGATCCAATCTCATGGGCTGAAGCCCTGTCTTTACCTGAACCTATATTTTGTAGAGGAAACATGGCAGTCAATTGCGCACCAGTGTCCTACAAATAATATATCAGAGCTGTCTATGCATATCCAGACTAGAACTTTGAAAACAAGGGAGAATAGATGGGACGTAAAGCATAGGCTCCAAACTATGGCCTACAGGACCGTCAAGAAACCTGCCCGTTCCCAGCCAAACATCTGTACAAGTCGAGGTAAGTCTATATTCAATCCAATAGTGTGTTTTCAGTTCTTTCTTCATTCAATGTTTCTTGGTTTAAAGCATAAATCAAGAAATGTTCAATCAAGAAAATTTATTTTGCGGGCCAACCATATAGGTTGGTCATCATGGGCGCGAGGTGGCATAGTGCTTAACGGAGAAGTAGTTTAAGGTCAAGAATGCAGGAGGTTAGAAACAAGTTAAACATGGTCCAAATTAAGAGGAAAGATTGACCAAAAGTTGCTGTACGAAAAAAACGCAGAACTTTATGTGTCACCAACGCCACAACGTGATGGAATCCTATCAGATTCACCCACAAAGCCATGATCTTTTGAATAAAGAGTGGAAATATATGCCCTGAATACATTCCCCGAGAAGTGGACAAACAGAAACAGCGAGATCTGGAGGTGTAGGAACAGTACACAATTACATCTGTACAGCGCCTTTCATGTCGGGAGTACGTCCCAATTTAACAATGTATTATGGGTGGAAAAAGCCATAAAATGTGTAAATGATTTTCTCTTTTTCATATCAAGGAGGGCGTTAAATATAGAAGTGAAGCGACTACGCTGAAGCTGATATTACTTAGTCCACAGCGACAGTGTTGGGTGTTTTGGTTCCCCATCATAGGAAGAAAATCGAAACCGTGGAGAGAATGGAACGAAAAAGTTGTGAGCGCGACGATCAGACTTTGAGACTATCACATTGTCCCGAATGTAAAGAAACCTCAATTCTCGCCCCTCCTGATTTTCACAGTTTTATTTCAGGGGGAAAAAAAAGGAACACGTCAACGGTAATTAAAGAGTTACCAAACATGTTTCTGCACAAATTTAGGACCGTATTTTGCCAAATTCACATGATTCTAAATGCACTAATAGCATACTTTCCAAATTAATACTAAAAAAAGCTGCCGATTGAGAATATACTCCGTTGCTCTCATGATATCACATTTTGCCAGTCTCCCTGCTCTCACTTTCTCAGACTCTTTTTTGTTTCTCTTGCTGAATCTCTCTCTCTCGTGCTGTCTACCTCTGTCCCGGTATTCATTTTTTCATCTCGCTCTCGCTCCCTCTCTACCTACCACTGTTGCTTAACAAAAATCCAGATGTGCACAAATTTAGAAATACACCTGCAACCATCCACATCTGTGCAATTTCCCAATTGTCTGACATGAGCAATTGAATTTTTGGCAGCCCCGTTACGCTCTTAAACAGAAGAAATAGCAATTATGAATTTTAATTCAGGGGGAGAAACATCGTCTTATATTGGTTGATAGTGGTTCATAGTAAAATAATAATTATTTAGTTGCGGATTCGGCAACAAACTGGGATTGACTCAACGTGATCAGAAGCAGCGTAAAGTGGAAATATGGAAGAAATTCAATCTTGCAGGGAATTAATAGGATGCTGCATGTATTTCCTTAAGTGCCGTTTGAGACAAATTAATTAAGATATGTAAGGAGGCATTAGACAAACACTGGAAAATGGATATAAAGTGATACGGGCAAAGAGCAGGAATGCGATCAGAGTTGCTAGCTTTATTTAGTGAGCGAGGAACAACCGTGGGTTGAATGGCCTTCTGCTGTCCTGAAAAGTCTAGAATTCTGTTGTACTTTAAACCAATGCATTTTGTCAGCGGTTTGGGTTTATACTTTGATTGTAAAGCTTATTGAAACTGCTGTACTTGAATTGACTGCTACATTTATAAATCACCCCCAACATATAGACACTACACTTTGCAGTATATCCTGTGAAGCATTTTCAGATGTCCTCCTGACATGAAATAGTCCACATCAAATATAAGAATAATCATTATTGTTTAATATATTGCTGATCTGTAGTCATTTTTCTTCACCGGTATAGCAACATACAGTGGGAAGCCTGATAATACTTCTGACTCCACATCATTTTGAATTGAACATAACTTTAATTCTACACCCCAGTTGTCTTGATATCACAACACGTGTAATCGATGGTTTGCTGCAATTAGATTTTGTGTGCTGTTATCAATCTATTGATCCGTTCAAATGGGCTTTCGCTTT